ATTCACCATCATAATTATATATTTTTTTCCGCGTCATCATCAAATGTAAATGACTTTACATACGTTCAGTGAAAAATAAAGCAAAGTAAAGCGGATCCAATAGTGCTGTAGTTCTGCGCTTTAATTTCTGTTCATGATCTACCATAACACCCTTAGGCGTTATACACTAATTATACAGAACCAACACATTTTTAAGAGAAATCTTTGAGGAGCCCCCTCTCGTGACATGTGGCCGGGTAAAACCCGACAGAATACATTATTGTAAAAATTGAGCTAAATGTTCTTTCAAAGATTCGTTTATGAACCTGAAGAGCCTGGCAGGTCTATCAAAACTCTTCTGAGCTAAGCCTTTCTCGCCTTTGCCAAACGTTTATTCAACGTGGAGTATAATGAAAAAACACAAACGTGTCATTCTTCACCCTGGTGGAATAATCGTATTATTCATAATTTGCAGTTTTAAAACTGGAATGTATAATATTCTGTTTTAATTCTAACCAGTTTTTCCAAATCCATTCATCAAATTCCACCCCATAGAGAACCTCCAGGGCTTAGAAATCGAAGGGCCCCTTATTTACATCTCATTGAAGCACAATAACATTGCTTTGTTTTCTCCCTCGTTCTTCAAAGCATGCCGATGAAGTGGACCTTAGTGGCCATTCAAGCAGATCACAAGATACGAGAAACTGTCTTGGTTTCCATTACTTTTCCATTACTAAGCCGTGAGTAAGTGACAGTTTTTCTGACAGACTACAACAACTGATCGATCTTGAAGGTAAGGAACGGAATCTTCATACAAGCATCATGTTAGACTCGATGTTTCACGCTCCTGTGGATATTGTTATGTTGATGGCGAGGGGTGCTTACGTGGAATGACAAGACAAACACGTAAAGGGTAGTCAATGTTTCCCGTGAAAGATTGTGTGGTTAAGGATATTTCAACATAGAATTGTATTTGGAAAAAAATTCCTGGGACAATTTATCTTTGGAGCAAATCTCTTCACAATGCGCTCTGACTTTCATTTTCAACTGAATGACTTTCTAAAGCCCATCGTTTCTTGTAAACAGTTTCGTTTTACCAGAGTGCGTCTTCACATTTAAAC